GAAGAGGTTCTGATGACTTGATTTTATGAAGAAATGAATATTCACCACGAGATTTACCCCAATGCTTTGATAAGATTACAATAGACTGCTGAGGATCTTTTTTAGAATGAAATTTCATATTAAATTTTTTATGATTAGAAGCAAAGTTAGAAAAATATCCTTTAAGCAAGTCATGCATTGCTTCATCACGAATGTTATAGGGAGTTTCAAGAACCCATCTGAGGTTGGTATCAATGAAGTTTTTAGCATTGAGATATAGTGCACATAGATCCTTCTTTTTTCGATTGATATCTTCTTTTTTGACCGCAGTAAGACACCAATTGTATATCCATCGTGCTGTTCCTATCCATCTTCTAAGTTTTAGCTGCTCCTGCTGGTTGGGATAAATGCGAATCTGTTACATCTTGCCTGTTGGAAGTTTCTTCATTTTCTTCTTGGAACTCTTAAATCTCTTAGATAGCATCTCTTCTTCTTCTGTGATTTGTGGCTGAACGTAATCCATTATGTCACGTTACAAACATGTGATGATTGCAAGGAAGTCTTCTGCAAGTTCTCTAACTTCACTACTTTTGACACTAAAATGTGTACTGAGTACCACGAGCTGTGTCCCATTCTTCTCAAAGAATCATTCCACAAATTCAAATCTGAAACAGCACAATCAGTCCTAATAAAAAGTTAGTAAAATAAAAAAAATAATAAATCAAAGTAGATAAATAATTAAACTCAAACCTTTTGGGTAACCACCACTTCTTTTATTCCTCCTGTGTGTATTTGTTCCAGAAGGGCAACAAACCCCCTTCGTTTCCAGTTGAGCCTGATGTAGCAGATCTTGGCCTTTTGCGTGGGTTGTGTCTTGTTATTTCTGAAGATTCCTTGTATGTCACTTGAGATGTCATACGTCTGTCTCCTTGATTTTTATTTGCACTTTAAGGGTCATTAAAAATGTGGTTTTATGTTCCACCTGTTCCAGTCTTTTTTGTCTGTCAATTGTCATATCCGATACCTGGGTATTATATCTTTATATACCACAAACTGAGATAATATTGCCAACTTTTTTACAGTTAAATTCTTATCAGTAGCAATTTCACGTAAGTCTTTTAGTTGTCCTATCTAGGAAATTTAACATTCATTTTAGTTTACAACTTCAAATCCGAAAAAAAAAAGAATTAACAAGCGCATTACATTATTCTCCGGATCTTCGACTATACGTTGAGATATTTCCACCAATTGTTCCTTCTTTTGATAATATATTCTTAAGTGGAATATTTATGCTTAATATAGGTTCTGAGATATGTGACTTTTTATCATTAGTATCAAGGTCGTTCGGTTCGTCAATGTAGTTAGGGTTTCGTCAATGTCGTTAGGGGATGAGAGGTTGACAGTAGAACTGTGTTGCTTAAAACTATATTTGATTTTAAACTTTAAACTTACATAACCGTATTAATAATTAGTAAGCTCAAGTAATACGAAAAATGGGTTTATTCCAGAATGTTCCGAAATTGTCTCAACGGTTGATCAAATAAATTATTTGATCAACCGTAATACAATACTTATTGATAGATCACGTGTAGGGAGCAGACACCACATGCATGGGTTTCAGCTCTAACCTACGCTTACGCTTCGGAAAATTATTTGGCAGCACATCTCAAATGACGCATGTTCTTTCGTTGACCATTCTTTTAACTCAGTCCCTTATCTTTTTTTTTTTTTTTTTTTAAGAAGATTATTGGTACTGTGACAAAATTCTATTTGTATTTGAGTTATTTCTTATCAACCTAGCAAAATTTGTTAATTTATTTTTAAGATAGGTTTTGACATCAAAAATACAAAAATATAATATATATTATATGCTATGCAAGAAACAAAAAATTCTAAGTTCGCAATATTTCCATCCCTTATTCCCACCCCCGCACGGTTACTTCATGATCGACATAAAGTTAAAATTATTAATGAATAATTTAAAAATGAATTCATAACATAAAATGATGAATAAATGAATAAATAAATAAATTTAAGATAAATAAAATGCAGAATGCGCTTTAAGTATTAACTTGTATTTTAGAGACTAAATTTATAATGTGAAAAAATTATTTTTAAAAGCGAAAGAAATATATGGGATCTATTAATATAATTAAATTATGTTTGAAGTGTGCCATGCACATGCGATAATGTTCTAAAGGTTCACCGGAAGACATCTTTCACTTATCCATCAGCATCCGATTGTTGTATCAGCTGAGTAATACTCATCTTATTACCACGATTTGAAACGTCAAACGAAACTTTCTTATCGTCTACCAAAGAATTCTTTAAAGGAACTTCCGTACACGAGATGACTACTTTGTTAATATCCCTTTGCTCATCAACATCCGAATACCGTTGAGCTCGATTGGATTGCTCGTTGTCAGTAATCATCTTTACGTTTGACTCCTCTTTAGTCAAAGGAGGAATGATTTCTTTTCTGATCGGGGTTTCGTTTACAAATGCGAAATTACCACACGGCTCGAAGGATTTTTGTGTAAAGCCGTTACCACCTGAAGCAGCTTCTTTCTCAACCGCATCTTTTGCCGCAGCCTGAAAGAATTGTATTTTTTGTGAATCATCTTGATTTCTCCACCCTGATGCGGTAATCCGTGAATGATCTCTCATCCTACGTTTTTGCTCATGAACAATTTTTGAATTTCTGTATTGAAAAAATGCATTTGTTGACCTTTTCTTAAGTTTGGTCATGGTGATATAGAAATTTTTATCAGAAATTTGTTTTAAAACAAAAAAGTTGCCAATGTAAAGGTCCTAAAATTTAAGTTACACGAGATTAACCAAAAGGGAAGATTAATAAAACTTTAAAAACCTCTTCATCGTTCTCAGATTAGAAGAATCTCGATTATTTTACTATCAGCTAAATTACTTAAGTTTTGTGCGGCGATTACTATTTCACTAAAGTAAGGATTATCCGAAGATTTGAACCTTTTCTGGTCCGGTATTACTGGGATAATCTTTGATCGCTCCGTTATTCGTTCATTATCCTTTCCGTATCAAGAAATTTAAATGCCCAGGTCGAAAATGAAACTGTTCTTATCATGTGATTACTAAGTATGTGGGCTTATCTAATATTTAGCCTAACTTAGGAGTTATGCCGATCATCAATAAATAATAATAAAAAATAAAATTAAATTAGATACGAGCAATGTTTTATTAATTTTTTTTTTTTAAAAAAAAAAACTGTTTTAAAAGTTTGATTAACATTTTACCACCCCCCCCCCCCAATTATTAATGACACCCATAAATTTAAACGCAAGAACAAAATAAGTGTTGACGGATGACCATGAAATGATCTTTTTAACTTTTTTTTTTTTTTTTTTTTTTTTTTTTTTTTTTTTTTCCTTTTTTCATTTTTCTTATTTAAAATTTATTTTTTACATAATTTTTCTTAAACACAAAAGGAATT